CCCCAAAACCCCAAAACCCCAAAACCCCAAAACCCCAAGATCATTCAGTTTGCTGAATAATTATATAATAAATTTGCAAAATTTAAAATGGGAAGTTCAAAGTCGAACGCAATTAGAGACATAGATGATAAAGAAGTTGCAAAGGTAATCATTCTTTAGCAATTATAATATAATTATTTAGGTTATTTATTTGCGTACCTTAAAAGGCAAATAAATAGGGTAGACTCTTTACTTCAGACTAAGCATATCAAAGAAGCAATTTTAAGTTACGTTCTCACCGGCAATTTAAAAATGTTTGATGAAAGTCTAAAGCAGATGGAAGGTATTTCTCCTGAAGAAAAGAAGAAAATGTTTGTCAATAGCAAATTTAAAACGGCCAAAAACAAAACTCAAAAACTTGAGAATGAATACGAAGAGGAAAAGAAAGAGAAACTTCCAGAATTTAATGATAAAGAGCCTGACTTGAAATTAAAAACAGAAATTCCAGATTCAACTCTTCCCCCAATTAACAGGGATGTCAATATCACAAATAATTTAGGATATGAAGAAGATTTAAATTTCAGCAACCCAATGGTACGGTTAAGCTATTTTTCAATCATTTTTGAATAGGAAGAATCGAAAAATAAAATCCTCGATGATGAAGAGAAATCAGGCAACAATGAAGACCTTGAGCAAGATAAATCAGGAAAAGACGAGCTATATGATGACGACCTTAAAAACCAATTCAGATATGAATACGTTATTACAATTAGCTTCTGGCTTGCAATTCATTGAGGGCACAAAGACATCGTCAACTACATATTGAAGTGAAATAGTCTCATGAGAAAGTTGGTGGCGTCGATATACTCTACACAGAACGATAGGTCCCCTGGGAGAAGTTCCAGAGATGATGGGAATAATCGAACAAAGAAAATTTTGACGAATAGTCCGCCTAAAGATGACACAGGATTTAACAGAGCATATCAACGCACTAAGAATCAAAGCAAAAAGTTGTTGTCAATGCAGGATCAAAAGAGAGACCAAATTATCACGAGGAATGTCGAATCTCAGGAGAAGGATAACACCATGCTTGAGGGAGGAGAAGAAAACAAGCAAGATCATAGTGAGAGGTATCACTTTAATTAATCAAACATAGCGATAACTTTGCCTCAGATGAAGAATCAAAGGTCAAAGATTCTGATGGAAGCTCCTCTATGGAAGATATGAGAGATTTAAACGAACAAATCAAGAATAGTGGCATTCCTTCTGCAACTATTGACAAGTACCAGGAACTAGATGACGATGATATTTTAGAAGTAAAAATTCTGATGATGAAGTACAACCCTACATTTATGGCTAATTTATTAAAGATTCTGATTGGCATTGATGAAGAAAAATTAGCTTGCTTTATGCTAGCTTATTATGACACCGATATCACTGAGAAAATAGTTCGAGATACTATCCATAGAGATTTCTTTATACTTCTCAATTATATATGGGCATTTGGAAAGAATAAATATCAGGAAGGCCCTGAACAGTTTATAAGCTATTCTGAGTTATTTTACATGATAAAGGAGTTAAAAGATAATAAATCTGAAGAACTCTCAAAGATTATTATTCAAATAGTAAATTGGTTGGTAGAGACTGATGACAATATTCTTATTGCTTTACTAGAGCATGAATATGACCAAATTGCACTGGATTATATTGGCTATTATAGCGTACATATCAACACTGAACTTCTCCTCTATTGTCTAAAGAATGGAAATGAGCCTTTTCTCAAAGGAGCTCTTAAGCTATCAGCTTTTGATAAGTTGATCTTTAGAAAGGATGAAGTTGTGTCACAATTCATCACTTTGCTAAAAGGAGGAAGCCGGATGAACTATCTCCTTAACATCTTGGCTCTTGTGGATCTTTCAATATGGAAAAACCAGCATTTAAAGGAGCTCATTGAAGTGCTTGATGAATATGAAAGTAATCCTCTTGAGGAAAATCGTCTTTTGCTCTCATATAATCCGATCATGAGTATCTGATTGGCAGCTGAGATTTTAACAAAGATAGCTATTAGTAGAAGAAAATTAGAAAATGAATGAAAGAGAATCAAATCAGCTCTCCTCTCTTTAGGAAGAATGTATAGTTCAAAAATTCAGGATGAGGATTATTACGAACAGCTAATCTCTGATGTTGACTTTAAGGGAAGAACAGTCCTTAAAATTATTTGTGAAGAAAAATTTGAACCACTGATGGATGAAAATGACCCAAAGGCTGAAAATATGATGCTTAGAATTTGGCATGGAACTGAAGCAACGAAATGTGATGGAATATTAAATGGGTATTCTTCTTTGACACATATTTTGAATAGTAGTACAAAGAAGCTGACTGGGACCTTTATGAGCATCATTTCCAACTCATATAATCCAAACTTTCAGGTTGATTACTCCTTCCAGTATAGATATCGGACAAAAGCAGTATCAGTATCTTTTAGGAAGGAGCTTTTCTATTCTTTCTGAATCTTGCTCATCTTTCAGTATGTCAATATCAGGTACATCTCTCTGTTTAATGTCGATGCTATGGGAGAAGATGATGATATAAAAATTGCTAATTTAAAAGAAGCTAAGAAGGAATATGATTTATTGAATAATTACACTTTGGTATTCTGCTTAGCTCTCATCTTCCAATTTTTCCTGAAGCTGTTGTATAATATTTGAGCCAAAATTAAAATTCCTATAGACAAATGGACTATTATGGACTCTATTTGTGGGATCTTCAACCTTTTAGCCATTTATGTGGTGGCGTTTACTCCCAACAAAAAGTTTCTAGAAAGAGAGTACAAGGATTACCTTGATTATTTCATGCTATTCGTGATGATAGTCTCTTGGGCTAGGTTCTTTCTGTATTTTCTGCTTGAAAAATCAATATCAAAACTCCTTCTCACTCTTGTTGAAATGGTTGGAGATACTCTTTCATTTTTACTTTTGATTGGGTGATATATTCTTGTTCAGGCGAGTATTTTTACAACTCTCTTTCAGGATACTTTGCCTGATAATTATGGGTCAATGATCTTGTCCTTTAGAACTCTTTTTGATGCTGGATTGGCTGTGTATTCTTACAAAGGAATGGAAAGTAAGGAAATAGTACACTCAATCTTATTGATCCTTCATGTATTTGTGACTAATGTGCTGTTACTGAATTATTTAATCGCTATTCTTTCCACAACTTATGAGAACATGCAACAGAGTGGTATTTTTAAGTACAAAGTTAACCTTTATCAGTACTGTGAGAGATACATGAGAGCATATGAAGAAGGGGAGCTAGGCGAATTGGTATTACACCCAACACCAACCTCCTCTCTTTCTGTATGATTGCTTCCATTCTTTGTATGAAGAAAGCTGTTTAATAAGCTTTCAAAAATATTTAGTTATACTGTTTTCTGGGCAGAGAATTTTGTGGTGCTTATTTTATTCTTAATCTATGAATGTACAATCCTGTTTCTGACATATGGGAAAGTATATCTGAACATTGTCCGTGCAAGCGAAGGTCTGTTCACAAAGATTTTCTTTGTTGGAATATGGGTGGTTTTTGGAATAGCCATTCTTGTAATGTTCATCGTATACGACATGATCAGCCTGACTCGTATCCTCCTCATGCATAATGGTTGCCGGATGTATATGAATGAAGAAGAGGATGAAGAGGTCTTTGATGTTAGTAAGAAGCTCGAAATATTTAACCAACTCAGGAACACTATGATAAACATGTTCATCAAAGCCAAGATAGATGTTAAGAATAGTATCGGAATCCACTCAAAATCAGTTGCAAAGTCTATTTCCAACACTGAAATGAAGAAGGGGGGTGTAAAAAGCCTGATGTCTCCTACTAATAGTCATATAAATATGAGCGTGATCTCAAAAATCAAAAGTGGATTTGAAGATAAGTCTGAATTTGGAATTGATGATAATGATGCTGAAATACTTTCAGATTACCACCAATTCTTTGTACAAAGAAAGCAAGCCATTATTGATCAGTGGGAGAAGGACCTGTCAGAAGAAAAGAAAATTCAGTTGAGAAATCGATCAGAAAAGAGATATTTTGGAGAAAATGTCGATGAAGATGAGAGCGAAGAAGATCTGTATGCTTCAGAAGAAGATCTGCAAATAGCAAAGGAATTTTTGGAAAAGTTTGTTATTCAGTCTGAATCCTCTGTTGATGGCCAGATTGATCTTCAATTGGTGCTAAAAGCCTTACCAGATAGTATCAAAATGTACTCAGTCTTGAAAATGGAGCTATTTAATTTTAAGATATTTCAAGATAGCTTACTTGCACATCAGAACACAGAGATAGTAGACGCATTCGAATATTTTGATAAAAGAAACAAGGAAAGAGTTTATGGGATCAAAGATACTTTGCTTACCCAAAAACAAGAGCTTCTAAATGTTCGTGAAAGTCTGACTAGTGTGCAAGAGAAGCTGAAGAGAACTGATGAAGGAGGTAGTCAGACTAATCCGAGAGCTCATTCTGCTTTCTCAAAACCAGATGGAACAAAGAGGCATTTACTATTCAATGAAATGAGGGATAAGGAAGAAAGGAAAATATCACTAAGCAAATCTGACAATAAGGAAAGAAGAAGTATCGAAAGTCAGGAGAATTTCAGGCAGGACTTCGCAAAGAATCATGACTTTTAACATCCTTATGAAATATCTTTACATAGATTGGATTTTCAATGATATCTTTGGGATTAAAGAGAATTTAAAATTGCTAAGAAATTCAATAGCCATCGTTGTATTTTACATATCATGGGAAAAATGGTATAATAAGCAGGTAATATCGAGTTCAGGCCATTCCTATTCCTTCTCCTCCTTTCTTTATCCTGCATCCTTTATTGTCTACCTTCAAAAATGGAGGAAGTTATTAATTTGCATTTTTGAAAATTTAAATATTTAAGTTTGAATAAGGGGTTTTGGGGTTTTGGGGTTTTGGGG